AAAAAAAAAAAAAGATTCTTATTTTTGATTCTGTCAGCTTATCTTTTACTTAAGTAATAAATATGTCTAATTGTATGAAATACTAAGGAAAGTAAATATCTTACTGCAAAATAAAGATATTAATGGAATCTTTATTTAATGTTTTAGATGTACAGTTGGAGAAATCACAGATGCCATGAAAAAGGTATTTGGCGAACATAAAGCTAGTGATCGTATGGTGAGTGGAGCATATCGTCAGGAATTTGGAGAAAGTAAGGAGATATCATCTGCTATCAAGAGGTATGTGTGAGATTTCTTAAGCCAGAATTTCATTATTTCTGTTAGCACAGTCCCTTGGAATCTACTGGGAGTTTAGTTTTTTTACCTATAACCTAGAAAATATCTTAATTGACTAGTAAAGCTAGTGAATATGTATAATATTAATTATATTTTTATGTTATATAGAACACAAATTTATACTTCATCTATAATTTATGATATAATATATAACTCATATAGTATTCAACTATAAATTGCTAGTAAATTTTATATTGGCTTGTCAGAAAAGTCATGATGCGTTTTTGCAACAGATGGCATGAGCTCATTTTTGGAAGTACTAGTCAGTCACATCTATGTTATGGCTGTGTCATTTGATAGCTGACAGTTCTACCTTCAGTCTATCAATAAAAAAAATGAAATGATTTGGTTGAGTTTTGGAGATTTTACAACAGTTTGAATATGGAAGACCAGACTGCAGTTTTGCTGTATTTTACTGTCTTGCTTCCATAAAGGGAAGAATACATGTCAAGCTTGTAAAAAGTTGCATACAGCTTAAGGTGACAATGCTCTACAAGAATGTCAGTGCCAACTATTGTGCATGAAATTCTGTGCTGGTGATTTTGATCTCAAAGACACTTCTTGGTCAGGGAGGCCCAGTGAGGTCGATGACAACAAAATAAAGGCTTTGATCGAGTCAAACCCAAACGTGACATGAAAGACTGCAGAAACATTGAACAACCAACATTCAAGCATTTATGAGCACCTGAAGAAGGCGGGATACATAAGGAAGCTAAATATTTGAGTTCCTTATGAGCTCAAAGAAGTTCATTTGATGGTGTGTATAAACATCTGCGATATGCTTATCAATCATGAGGAAAATGATCCTTTTTTGAAGCAACTGGTAACTGGTGATGAAAAGTAGATTGTTGGGACCAGCAGTCAGTGTAATGGTTATGTTGCTGGACTCCCATGTGGTCTACTGCGGTTCAAGTCCTGGACCCGGTGACTTGGACTCATGCCGGGCACATGTGCGTGTGTGCCCAAGATCCCGAGAGGAGAATGGAGGAGAAGGGATTGTGGCGTGGCCATCCCCCCTTAAGGGGGGAGGTGATTTTTCGCTTTCTGCCTCTCTGTCTCTCTCTGTCTTTCTGGCGTGCACATGCACCCTATAGCAAAAACCTCTCCAAAAAAAAAAAGTGGATTGTTTACAATGATGTACGCAGAGACGGTCTTGGTTATGGTATAGTAATTAGCCTCAAATGACATCGGAATCCAGACATTCATTAAAGGAACTTTATGCTCTCAGTGTGATTGGATTTTAAAGGTGTTGTATTTTTCAAGCGTCTACTGAAGAACCAAACAACCAGTTCTAATGTATACCATTGGCAATTGGATAGTTTGAAAGAATTTATCATCCAGAAAAGACCAGAGCTTGTTGATTGTGAAGTAGTTGTATTGCTTCATAACAATGTGAGCTACACACAAGTTTGATGATCCATTAAAAATTACTGGAGCTTGGATAGAATGCATGGCCTCACCCACCATACTCCCCTGACCTTGCGCCATCAGACCTCGATTTATTTTGATTTCTTCAAAACACTTTGTGTTGTATAACTTTCTATTCAGATGAAGCTATAAATCAGCACTTTGTTCAGTTTTTTGCAGATAAAGAAGGTCCATCTATGAACAAGACATAATAAATCTCACTGATAGATGGCAAAGGTTACTGAACAAAATGGGCACTATACCATTAATCTTTGTTCTTTGTGTATATAAATGACCTTTGAAAAACAGAAAAAAATATGTCATGACTTTTCTGACAACCCAATATAATTATTTTTTATTTTTTTATTTTTTATTTATTCATTTTTTTGGAGAGGTATTTGCTATAGGGTGCATATGCTTGCCAGAAAGAGAGAGACAGAGAGACAGAAAGCGAGAAATCACCCCTCAGGGAGGATGGCCATGCCACAATCCCTTCTCCTCCATTCTCCTCTTGGGATCTTGGACATACATGCATACGTGCCTGGCGTGAGTTTAAGCCACCGGGTCAGGGACTTGAACCATGGCCGACTACCTGGGAGTCCAGCAACATAGTCATTATGCCATCTGCTGGTTCCAACAACCCAATATTATTAATAAATATTATAAAAAAATATATAAATTATATAATATATAAATTGTATATTATTTAATACTTAATAAATATTATATTTTAAAATGAAGTGTTTCTTTTTTCTTTTGCAGTAGGGCATATGGGATTGTTGGAGAGAGACAGAAACAGAGAGAGAGGGAAAGTGAGAAATCATTCCCAAAGGGGCATGGCCACCCCACAGTCCATTCTCCTTTGGGATTTTGGGCACACATGTACCCTCACCCAGTGTGTTTTTTTAGTTCCCAGGTCTGGGACTCAAACCACACAGTCAGGCATGTAGGATCCAGCACCTTAACCACCACACTACCTGCAGGTCCCCCAAATTAAAAATGTTTTGAACTTTCACCAATCCCCTTTAGGAGTTTCAGACAGATGTTTCAGACAGATGTTTATTTAACTATTGAGTGGTCGGGAAAGTCATCACGCATTTTGCAGAGAAACAGGAGAAAAGTCATGACTTTCCCGATGGCCTCGTAGCACTGATACTGCTTCATATCCACCTGGTATTTAGATTTTAACTTATTTACTATGGTAGACTTTCATATTTTCATGTTTATTTTCATTTTTCAATTCACAGAATAATTATAAAATTTTAATTTTCCTACTTGAAAGTATAAATTTGTTGGCATCTATGCATAAATTAAAATCAATCTTCACTAAACTGATGAAAAATAACACCGCCCATAGCATGACTTGAAAATGTAATGCATTTCTGTTTCTTGAGTGTATCTGGTTCTTGTTGTTTGTTATTCTCAACTTTTGTAACAAACTTCCCACTAGAAAATTTACATTAATACTTATGTACTCTAAAACTACCAAACAACCAAGGTGAAAGTCAGCTAACTGGAACTTTTTTTTTAATGAAAGTAAATGTAGCACTTTTCATGTTTGGTGTAAACTTGTCAAATTAAGCAAGGAAGTCTTTTGATTATACATTATTACAAGAAACCATATTGTTGAGTTCACATTTGTAAAGGGTGGGTGAGATATGCATATTTTACTCTGGAGACTGGCTCAAGAAGATGGAAGTTTGTCTTTTTTTTCATCTTGCTTCACTGTGATATTCTCAGTGTTATGGGCTTATGGGCTGTGTCATCTTCCAAACTTTTCCCTAACAGAGAGATGGTAAGCATATTCAGGCTTTAATGGAGTTCTTGATGAAAAATAGAGATATTAACACAATGCACATAACCAGATAAGGTGTTTTAAAAGCAACTTGAAATATTAGCTGTGAGTAAATTAGTTTTTATGCACGACCTTTGTATAGTCAATATTTTGCTATTTTGCATTTTAAAATGGTCCTTAGGGTTCATGACTTCATGGAACGGGAAGGTCGCAGACCTCGTCTTCTGGTGGCAAAAATGGGTCAAGATGGCCATGACAGAGGAGCAAAAGTTATTGCCACAGGATTTGCTGATCTTGGCTTTGATGTGGACATAGGCCCTCTTTTTCAGGTACTAAATATTATTTGGAGGGATATTAAAAAGTATGCCATAGCAACTTACATTACAAAAAAGTGGTAAGATGATAAAACAAGATGTTTCTAAAGTAATAAAAGAAGAAATGTTCGACAAATTCTCCACTTTTAAGTGCATATGATCCAATTATTATTGTACTATGTATTATTTATTATAAATAATAGTATAATATATGTTATACTATTTATTATATTATTATTAATAGTATTATTATACTATATTATACTATTTATTATATATATATTATTTATTATACTATAAATAAAAATGTCATGTTAATTTAGACTTTGAAAATATCAATTCAAAACTAAAGTGATATTGGACTACTGAAATTGTGAAGATTACTTTCAAAGGTCTTATAATCTTTACTGAGATTTTACTAATATTTTGTGGGAGAGATAGCTCACATGAGATTGGTGAACAGTGACTGGAAAAGGAAATCGTCAGCATAAGCTCCATGCTGAGTAAATTTTCTCTTGTTTTGACTCTACTAGTATTTTATTTAGTTACAGAATAGTAGATCCAGACAGAAAAGTGATTTTTTTGGATGTACATGAAGCTGAAATTCTCTATAGTGTGATAATACATTAATCATTCTATTACAAAAAGAAAATTGGCAGAAATAAACTTGTAATAAACTTTATATTAAAAACTTTATCCACGGGGACCAGCAGTTGGCATAATGGCTATGTTGCTGGACTCCCATGTAGTTGACCATGGTTCGAGTCCTGGACCTGGTGGCTTAAACTCATGCCAGGTGTGTGTATGTGCGTGCCCAGGATCCCTAAAAGAAGAGAAGGGATTGCGGCGTGGCCATCCCCCCAGAGAGTGATTTCTCACTTTCTGTCTCTGTGTCTCTATTTTTCTGGCGAGTGCACATGCCCTATAGCAAAAACCTCTCCAAAAATAAAGAAAAAAACTTTACCCACTACATGCTTATTGATAATATATTAGATAGTGGGTTTTTTTTTTTTTTTTTGGAGAGATTTTTGCTATAGGGTGCGTGCGCTCTCACCAGCCAGACAGAGAGAGACATAGAGACAGAAAGCGAGAAATCACCCCCCAGGGGGGATGGTCACGCCGCAATCCCTTCTCCTCCATTCTCCTCTCGGGATCTTGGGCACGCACGCACACGCGCCCAGCGTGAGTTTTAAGCCACCGGGTCCAAGACGCGAACCACGATCGACTACGTGGGAGTCCAGCGACATAGCCATTACGCTAACTGCTGGTTCCCAGATAGTGGGTTTTGAATTGAGTAAAAATAGGATTTTTTTTTCCTCAGGGAGGTTATAATTTTCTAACAAGAAGAGAATTACCAGTAATCACAGCACAGTATGATAATTATATAGGTGTGGACAAGGAGAACACCTCATTTATTTAAGTATCCTAGGAACTTGCATTCAAGCTATGCCTTTCAGAAGTCTGGACAACAAGGCAGGGAAGGGGTTCCAAGATGAGTTTGCTCAAGCGAACGTGCAGAGCTACGAGAAGTCTCAATGCCTTTAGAGAGCTGTATGAGGTTCAGTTGAATTAGAAGGCAGCGCTTGGGATGTAGTATACATTATGAATAGCTATAAATATTCTTTAAGGAGTTTGAACTCCATCCCTAAAATGTTTGGATATCATGACATAATTATATTATTCTTAGTAATCTCACTTTCTTATAAAGTCACTTTCTGAAGTGGATTGAAGAGTTCTGTGACTCCATATAAGAAGTTCACTTAAGCTGTCCAGTAATCTGGTGAGAAAAAAGGAAGGTCTTTAGGCAATGTCAGGGTCTCAGCAGAAACCAAAACTCAGCTAGGATTTTGAAGTAAGTTAATGAGAGGGCTATCTACAGATGTCGGTGAGATTAAGAAAACCAACAAAGAATAATGGGCACCGGGGAATCAAATTATTAGGAATTTCCCAAACCAGTTATTTCACATTGTCACTAACATAGCTAAATAAATTATATTAAGAGCAATGTGATAATGCTCAAAAAATATCACTTCCTATTTATCTTATACATTTTATGGTTATCTGTACTCTTGAGATTATTTCTTTCTATATAAACATATATACACATACAATATATATAGACATATACACATGTGTACACAGTAGAGATACATATAGGTATATACAGACATACACACATGTGTTCACAGTGGAGATACTGTATCACCGTGAGCTGCTATGCATCTTTTTCCTGCTTTGCGTATAGTAATACTACATTGGTAAACTGAACTTGGCTATGGTTGTAATATTCACAGCATAGAAATTAGCAAACACATTGGGGCCAGCAGGTGGCTTGATGGTTGAGGATCTGGACTCCCATGTGGCCGACTGTGGTTTGAATCCCAGACCTGGTGGCTTGTTTTCTTACTTTGCCTTTCTGTCTCTCTCTCTGTCTTTCTCTGGTCAAATTAAAAGAAATAATACCAATAACAATTGAAATTAAATAATTCTTTAAAAAAAGGAAATCAGCAAACACTAAAACTTAGGCATTTATTTATTATCTTCTTGATGAGCTGGATATATGAATGGGATGAAGAAAATGTATATAATGCACTTAAAATTTAAAGAGAGAGAGAGAGGAGAGAGACAAGCACTCTCTGCAGAGTCTCATGCCTCAAGTCCCCTCCCCCTCAACTTTCCTGGCCAGTCAGCATCACAAACAGATGTGTTCCTGGAATGTTCAGGTAGACCCAGAACCACATCTGCAGTCTTCTATATGGACCTGGCATGGCTTGAGCAGCATGGGATATGAGGAAAGTCTTGTCACCTTCTTGACAATCACAAAAGGCTTGAAGTGCTGCCAGTTTGAAGTGTCTGACTTCAAAATGCATGACTCTCTCCTTATTTCATACTCAGCAAATTGAGGAAGGAGTGCCCAAAGCCATTGGTCTGTTAGAATTTTTCCAAGATCACATCCAGGTTTATGACATATGGGTGAATCACAGGTGATTGCGTATATATTCAGTGTGTGTACTCTGATTGGAGGCATGTTCAAAAATAGAGGGTTTTTTTGGATAATCTGCCTTAAAAAAGTTTGTTATATTGTAGCAATAATAGTGTGAAGAGCTCCAAAATTTGGGAAGATATTATTTCAGTATTCAAAAAGTATTACATGACTTAGCAAAGAAATTTTATATCATTTATGAATGTTATGTTTTTATATACATCTGTGTTTTATTTTCACTTTGTTTTCTAACATAAAAGCATCACTCAATCCATGTCAGAACACTTATTTATCAATGACATGAATGACTGCTTTTCAGAATCAGACCATAATTAAGCATTTATCAGTAGTTTGATTTGTCAGCTCAGGGTTGAATTACAATCATAGACTGGCTAAAAATACAGAAGTTTGGCAAAAATTAATGACAGCATTCTGTGAAAATTAATTAGCTATGTTATTTACAATAAAGAATATTGGATATTTTATTATTATTTGTGAATTATCTGCTATGCATCTTTTATATTAGTGAAATTTATAATTAACATATGGATGTGTGTGTGTATATACACATATATACGTGTGTGTGTGTGTGTGTGTGTGTGTATACATATATATTTTTTTTCTGGCTAAATGGTTATTAATCATTTATGAGAAAACTGTTTAAAGAGGATTATCTGATTAAAAATTGACACATGTCTGCCAGAACCAGAGTACCATGGCAGAGAGAAAACATGGAAAAGATACACTGACCCTTCTCATTCATTGAGAATAATTTATCCAGAGCCAAAAAGCAGGAAAGTCTTATACAGGGATAGGATCTCTGGGATGCTGAGCAGGGTAGATAATAAATCTTGAGATGCTTCAAAGGCAAAAGAATTAAAAGGTAGTTAGCAAATAGCCTGTAGCATTTAATGGTATTACTATGGATGTAGGAGTCAAATGATTTCCCATTTCTAACTTGGAATTTGGTGCCATTCTCTGAGATACTATTTATAGAAGTAAAGATGGTTTCTTGGAGAAGATGGTATAGTGGACTGAAGAGTGTCCTCCCAAGAATTCATGTCCAGTTGGAACCACTGAATGTGACCTTATTTGGAAATAGGGTCTTTGAAGGTGTAATTATCTAAAGTTAAGATACTGGAATAGGATGGATCCTAAATCCAGTATGAGTATTATCCTTATAGGAAGGGAAGACAAATACACAGAGGCACAGAAGGAAGAAAGCCTTGTGCTAACAGCAACTACAGACCAAGGAGGGGCACTGATTGCTGGAAGAGAGAATGCAGAAAGTGGAAAGCAAGGATTTTCTCCTAGAGCCTTTGGAGGGAGCCAAACCTTGTGTGATTTTGTCCTTGGGACCCCAGACTGAAAATAACTGTTGTTTTCAGCCACCCAGTTTGGTAATTTGTTACTGCAGCCTTAGGAAACTAATATAGAGGTTGTTTTTGGATCAGTTAAATTTGTACTGCTTGTGGAATTTTCAGATGAAGTTGACTATACGTTGGATATACACATCTAGAACATTGAAGAGAAGCTTGAGTTAAACACAAAGATTTTGAGGCTTAACTGTATGTAAATGGTATTTAAACTATGAAAATGGAGATTATGTTCAGCAAGATGAAATGAGAACCTAAACATTAAAATGAAATAGAAGAGAAGGCAGCCAAGGAGTAATTGGAAATGGAATGAATAGTGGAATAAAACTAAGGAGAAAGAAGCATGTCAACTGGGAAATAAATAGTATTATTACATTCTACAGTTAGGTCAGTTGAAATGAGGACTAAATTATATTCATTACATTTTTACCAGTAAAGAAACAAACCTTCCTGAACAGGCCCGGCCTCTGGAGGATCTTGTATAAGTTTTCTCCTTTTGAATATTTAAATATTACTTTAGGATACCTGGGAGAAATTGTTACTATAAAGAATTAGCCTAGGCCAACCATAGCCCAGTCATTAAGACAGCTCAATCCCATATAGCCAGCTGCACAATTCAAGTACCAGGGCTGGAAGCTTGGAAAATCATGCTGGTGTCTATGCATGTGTGCCTAAAATCCCTAACAGAGAGAAAAGTGGAGGAGAAGGGATTGCAACTTGATCATTTCTCTTGTTGGGATGCTTTCTCCATTTCTATTTCTCTTGTCTTTTTTGTTTCTCTCTATAGTGAGTACATGCAAACTCTGGCAAATTAAATAAAAAAAATCCTGAACTTCAGAAGATATGTCCTTCAACTGTATTGGTAGATAAATATATAAATGTTTTTAATTTTATGCATTAATGTAGGTTTTGTTAAGAATTTCAAAGATGGGGCCAGCAGGTGGCATGGTGGTTAAGGTGTTGTACCTTAACCACCATGGTTGACTATTGTTTGAATCCCAGACCTGGTGGTTTAAAAATCATATCAGGCATGTGTGCATGTGTGCCCAAAATTTTGAGAGAAGAATGGAAGAGAGAGGATTGTGGTGTGCCCAACCCTCTTGTGGGGTGATTTCTAACTCTCCCTCTCACGGTCTCTCTCTGGCAAGCATACCACCATATAGCAAAAACTAAACAAACAAACAAACAAACAAAACCCTCAAATATATGTATTAAGATTGCTTTTATTCTTCCTCTAAGTTGAATACTTTCCCATTCTATTTTTTTCAGTTGAAGTAAATTTGGTTTATTTGATTAAACTTTATATTCCACTACCATTTTACTTTTGTTTTGTCTTTTATTTTAAAAAGTGATAAAATATACTTCTATTTAGTGGATAGCTTTTGGGAAATATTTTTCTTAACATTAAATTATTTTAAAATACTGTTAGTCATCGGCACATAAAGAAAATATTCCAAGAATGGAAAAGTTCATTTTCATTATATTTTATTTATAATTTGCCTTTTGGTATCAACAACTTTGTTTATGTAATATTGGATCATTTTAAAAAAAACAACTCATATGTCATATCTTGGGCTAATGGTACAATTAATGTAGTCTACTAATGAGTGATTTAATCAGATTTGGATTTAAAGTTTAAAAAGTTTTAATATTTAGGAATATAAAAATATAGTTTAATTTATATAAGTATAAAGCATGGATTGAATGGCTTACATAGGATTTTAATATAATAAATTTTGATAACATGGATGTTATGAATGATAAATCATGCTTAATTAAATTTCTTCTAAGAAATGAATAGCAAGAATATGCACATTTTCTTTAAGGGCTTCAATTTCACATATTAATATTTTTCACAGACTCAGAGTTTTACCTCCCTGTTGTGTGACTTATCTAGAGACCCCCTTGAATGTGGTTTTATTACTTGAGAGTGCAGAATCTTTAGTTTCTACACTTAAATCATGAGCCTTAAGGTTTTTTTAAGACAATTCACAGACTGATATTTTTGTGCTTTCAACTGTTCAGTGTTTTCTGAAATGGCATCATTCTTCCCAAACTTTAAATTACATTTACAATGAGAAACCTGTAGACACCTTTTGTATGAAATTATTTGAATCCATGTAAAGTAGTAAAGCAATGTCTCATCCTGTAGACAGTGGATATGATCTTGAGTAACTCAATTTGTCATTGAATACTTCAAATTTCCTTTTTGATTCTGTATCCAAGACAGGTTAAATCTAGTTCATAAATAATCACAGCCTCTTCTGCACTATCATTTCTCTCATTTATGCGTGCACCTGGGTACTATAGCCCCTTAAAGTTTCTGTAGTTCTCAAAAAAGTATTTTTGGTCCTATATTGTAGTTAATTCAGTATCTTCATGGAAAAACAAGGACCTGGAACTTCTAGTCCTCTCTCATATTGACATCACTCCCATTCTATTCTGAACCTGAAATTCATGTAAGGCTTTTGTGTTTAGTTCTTTACTTCTTCATAGGTACTGTTACATATTGCCTTGTACTGTAGGATGAATGTCGATAATGGCATCACATTTACTTTAAAGAAATTATATTGAGAAATACTGCTTTCCCTATATTACTTCATCTTGAAGATTGTTTTTGTCAACTTTTTTTTAAATGGTGTAACTGTCACCTAATTATTTCATTCTAAAGCAAGTATAGCGTTGATGTTTTTATTGCATCAGTAGAAGAGGTATTTGTGAGAATGATGAAATGTGGAGTGATAATTCATATCAAGGTTTTTAATGAGGAAAGCTTTGGCATGTTGATTTAAGTAGTGTAACATTTTTGAAATAGGTCCTTTCTAATCCACTGCCTAGGGATAATGATGACCAGCCTCTTTACTTTCTGCTTGTGCAGACTCCTCTTGAAGTGGCTCAGCAAGCTGTGGACGCAGATGTGCATGCTGTGGGAGTGAGCACACTTGCTGCCGGCCATAAAACTCTCGTTCCTGAGCTCATCAAGGAACTTAATTCTCTTGGACGGCCAGATATTCTTGTCATGTGTGGAGGAGTGATCCCACCGCAGGTATTTTCTGTCCTCTGTTTTTCTAGTGTTATGATGGGAATCCTGCATAATGGAGGCTTATATTTGATTCTATCGATAAATTTGTTGTAGGTTTAGAGCCAAATTATTTCCTGGTAATGGACTGCACCAAGTAAATTCTACAAAGTTGAAAATGCACAATGTTGTTTTCTGTTGAAGCTATGTTGTCATTCATTATGGATGCTTTAACAGCTTATAGAGCTCCTGTGAAACATCTTCCTCCTTGCAAACTAGTGAGCTGTGATAGAGATCTATTTTCCTAATACACATTTAATAAACAATGATGATGAAGGAATATGATCAAAGTAATAAAAGCTCACACGAACTTAGAGAGCAGTGGTAACTATGCAGTGGGTATAACAAGCCCTCACTCACAGCGAGAACCCCTTGTCTTGGTAGAGGAACGAGTCCTTTAGTTAGCTCGGTTCTGTCTTGACATTTTCAAGAAATACATTTTAAAGAGGTCAAATTAATCTTCTAGATATTTGAATTATTAGAACTTTTTCTTAATTGCCAGAGGATGCATGCGCTTATCAGAGAGAGAGAGAGAAAGTGCCCCGACCCTCCACATGGGCATGACCACACTGTAACACTGTAGTCCATTCTGAGGATTTTTTTTTAATAGTTTTTTTCTTTTTGGAGAGATTTTTGTTATAGGGCACGTGCACTCGCCAGTCAGAGAGAGACAGAGGGACAGAAAGAGAAAAATCACCCCCCAGGGGAGATGGCCATGCTGCAGTCCCTTTTCCTCCATTCTCCTCTTGGGATCTTGGGCATGCACGCACACATGCCCGTTGTGAGTTTTAAGCCACCGGATCCGGGACGCAAACCATGGTCAACTATATGGGAATCCAGCGACATCGCCATTATGCTAACTGCTGGTCCCTCCCATGAGGATTTTACACCTCCCCACATGCACACACTCACAACCAGTGGGTTTGCCAAGCAGTTGTGCTAAGATTCAATTCAAACTGCATTTGGCCGTGTGGGATCTGGCTCTCTTAACTGCTAAGCCTTGGGGCCAGTTTAATTGAATATATAAAATGCTGTTTATAACTGAATGCCAATTAGTTTTTAAATTAGAAGGTACTAATACGTAGTGGTTAATCAAACAGATATAACCCTGCTAATGTAGGGATTTCTAAAAGCTCACAGTTTCTACCATTTGATTAAAAAATATGGTCCATTCTCACCAGTATGTTACTATAATCAGTATTTCCTAACTCTGTGGGCATCAGTGGTCTTCAAGTATTTTAGGAAAGTTTAAAATGGACTCAGGATGCTACTCCATCATGAAACAGACAATCTGAAATCCCTGACCCAGCTAAGTAGAGGGCATTTAAAAATCATAATTTTATATTGGAAATAATTTCTAATTAATAGGTTAAGTATAATAATAAAAAATAGTACAAAGAACACCTATCTAACCTTTATCTAGAGTCTCTTATTGCTAATAATTTTCCTCCTCATCAACGTACATTTTACAAGGCTTATTTCAGATGTGTCTAAGTCAAAAACCCTTTTTTTCGGTTGCTGTATTTTGCAGTTTTTTCCCATCTGAGTCTTTTATTCCAAATCTATAACTCAGATGTCAGAACGAACGATGACACAGCATTATTAGGAAACAGACAAGGAAACGACTAATCAATCTGACCATCCCCAATTTGGGGATGATTGTATTGCGTGTTTCATCCAATTTTCTTATGAGCTCTTAAAATCTGTAGCACCTGCTCAAGAACAATGACATGTTTTGAATGTCTTTATGTGTCAAGTGCTGGGAATGCAAAGATGATTTGATGTGAATTCTGCTTTCAGAAGTTCTCAGACTAGAAAGAGACAAGTTCAGTTAGATGTGAATGTTCAGTACCGTTCCAAAATTATTGTATTATAAACATATTACAAGGATACGAGAGACAGAAAAGCAGTAGTTGGTGCATAATTAGTGTCACCATAACTTAACCATCAAAATGTGATGACACGAGAGTAGAAATGGTGCTGTCAAACCGAGTGCCACAAAAGTAAGCATGAATGAGACTCCCAGGTGTACACAATCACTTTAGTGGTTATGGATCAGGTCTTGATGCAGGTCCTAAACTTGATACTACAGCTACGAATGTTCTGATGTTAAAGTAGACTAAAGACTGGAGCAGTATTTGTGCCCTGGGAGTCTTTTCAATCAAACATCATCTACCATTAAAATAAACTAACAAATAGCAGCAGTGACAGGAAATGAAAAAAAAAAGCTAATCTTTGTTTATTTATATATATATATAAAGTACATCACAATATCAAATTCAAAATACCTCCATTCATTACTTGTAGACAAAATACCTGGATGGAAAAAATAACATATAAACTCAAGCTATAATGTGATACTAAATTTAACACAAATAATGACAAGTAGTGAAAATTTAAGTGAGAAACAAAAGATAGCTTGAGGCTCAGAAGTTCTCAGTTGGGGCCATAAACACCCACAAACACCATGATGGGCCATTTGGAAAACTGGCAGTGTGTGTTTTGTTCTTTTAATGGCTTGGGGTGGGAGGTTGGAGCTACTGCCTCTTAGTAGCAGTCCCATTGAAGGGAACATTTTTTAACCTAAAATGCCAATAGTCTGCCAGTTGAGAAAGTTCTGGGCACTGGGACAAAGAAGATAGGACAGGGTTAATTTTTGTTTGTTTGTTTTATTTGCTTAAAATTCAAAATAGTGTCTTTTCATTAATTAAACACATTCTTTTCACAGGATTACGAATTTCTGTTTGAAGTTGGTGTGTCCAATGTGTTTGGTCCTGGGACTCGAATTCCAAAGGCTGCTATTCAAGTGCTCGATGACATTGAGAAGTGTTTGGAAAAGAAGCAGCAATCTATATAACATCCTGTTTTTGTTTTATCTTTTTCCTAACGAATTCTTTATTATCAATAAAGAGCATAAAGCCATGTCTTCAATTTAATACCAACACATGATACATACTTTTCTTGACAGCTTTACATTAAAATACTTTACTTATAAATATGTTGTCATGTTATAAGTATGTGTATACAATTTCAATTGAAAAATAAAAAAAAAAATGGTTTGAAAACCATCTTTAATAATACTTTACCGGAAATTCTAAGTCATGGCAATATATTTGTTAGAAGTTTTTTTTCTTAATATAAATATTTATTATTATTCATACATTAAATCACTGTACATCATTTAAATTGTGAAGAGACTTTACCCATCATGAGATACCACCTCAGTCCAGCCAAATCTTCCTACTTTCTATTTTAAGAATAATCATGCTGAGTGCATGTGTGTATGTGTGTATGCCCAGAATCCTGGCAGGTTGGAAAAATGGAGATGGGATTGTGGTGAGACCATGCCCTTTTTAAGAGTGCTTTCCTTCTCTCTCTTCCTTCCTCTCTCTCTCTCTCTCTCTTCTCTCTCTCTCTTTCTTCCTGGTGAGTGCACAAGCCTTCTGGCAATTAAGGGAAAAAAGAATTAGATTTTACCTAAAAAAGTCTGACTAGTCCCATTATTCAGTTTAACATTCCATTGTCTTAGTTGGAATAAACCAGAAAATAAAATCTATTTTTTAATACAGTAATGCCACCTATCTTGGATAAAATAGTGCAGGGCGTCTATGGGGGGTAATAGCTTATGGTTGTGGGCTTTGGCCAAATTCTACCATAATCATCGTGATAGAAAAATATTAATTCAGATCTCCAGCAGGTTGAAATGGGTGGGTCAGTGAGATGGCAGATTTCTTCAATTCTAATTTTTGCTTTCCTGAACATGAGCAGTCCCCATTGTTGCTGGGCTTAGCTGAAGACACAATGGAAGTGCTTAGGTTGTTTGTAGGAATTCCTTAGCTATGTGTATGTCTATGACATAGACGGAATCTATGCTATCTTGCATAGATTCAATCATTAGAGTTAAGTTGTAGGCAAACCAATGGCATGGTTTCCTATGTTATTGGTCAAGGTGACTAGATCCCACATGGGCTGACTGCACTGTTGACGTCCCGGATCTGGTGGTGTGAAAAACATGCCAGGTGTGTGTGCTTGCATGCCCAAAATCCTGAGAGGAGATGTGGAAAGGAGATTGTGGAGTGACCATGCTCCATAGGAGGTGTTCTCATTTTCCCTCTCTCTCTGCCTCCCCCTAGTGAGTACACACATGCCTCATCTGTGGGAGAGAAAAAAAGAAACTTTCCAAAAATAAAAGTAGCTCAAAGAACATCTATATATTGCTCATTCAAAGGCTAGCTCATTAAAGAAGGAAAGTTATTTTTTTATTGTTAACATAATCCATTAAGTGGATATACAATAAGTTATACCGATTCTTATTTATAACAAATTTCTATTATATTAAATCAGAGAACAATCTTTTGGAAAGTATTATAAAATATATTGCTATAGAATTTGCAATCTATATTATAACAGCATCATTTTCAGAATATGAGTATTAAAGTGGTATTAAGTCATGATTATCATTTCCATTTTATAGTAAGCAATCTGACTTCCAATCCTTTGATCTACTTGCTCTGCCATTTTATTGACTTTTACTTAAAAAGAAATGGGTAATAATTCAGTAAGTACTTGGTTCCTGTGATGTGTGCAGTCGTGTAGTGGATGACACATGACATAAACTCATCCCTGAGGAATTTTCAGTTCTTAATATTCAACGTCTTATTGGCCATCTGGGGAAGGATAGCAGCTACCTGCTACCACATTTCACATCCATTATGTATCTTTTACCTGAACTCTTAAGTACTGACTTCAATAACTCCAATGTTTAAAAACATGTTTCCTGAATATCCAGTGGTATGACCCATAGGAATTAAATATTGGGTTGTTGGAAAAATCATGACATATTTTTCTATGCAAAGAAAGTGTCATGACTTTTCTGATTATTCAATATTTCTTACTCTAAATTTCCTCAATATCGTTATATACAGAAAACATCAGTGTTACTTATATTCCAAAAGAATTCAAAAGAAATTTTATTTTATATCTGACTTTTTCAACTATTCTCACTTTTGGGTAAAAACTTGTATGTCCCCCAGTAAGCAGATTTTTGATAATTATCAGGATGAGGCCCAAGTATAATGCAGTGAACACAAGTTTTGTTCAGATCAGCTATTCCATATCCACCAAATAGTATAAGACATATTAATGAATCGAGAAGACCCTTCTTTCCTGATTTATTTCTCATGGGAACATCTAGAATCAACATAGAAAATCCCAGTGACAATTATAAAGCACAATCAAACTACGGTGCAGAAAACAACTTAACTTTTCACAGGTGAGCACCTTCATCAACCTAATACATTTGGAGCTCATATTCTTAATCATAGCAGTTTCATCTTACATGATTCGTTTTATGATGCTTGATTCCAGAGAGGGCATTCATATCCAGGGTGATATAGATACCTGTTTGCTTTACGTGTTTACAGACTAATGAAGAATTGAGTACTCCATCTGTGAGAAACCTCTTCCTCCCTACCCCTGCCCCCAATCTGGAGTCACACATTACCTAACTTAAACCCTTCTTCTAATCAGGGTTCACCCAGAGGAAAAGCAGTAAGCTATGTGTGTGTGTGTTTATAACTTACTCTGAGGAATTGGCTTAGCCAGTTCTGGAGACTGGCCAAGCTACCTGAAATCTACAGAACAAATAGGGAAAGCTCTAGACAGGCTGGGACCCCACAGACACACGTTTTCTCTGTCAGGCATCAAGAAGATCGCAGGGTGAAGAAGCCACTGTAAACCCAGCTACTTATTGAAGTTTCTTTATTCAGGAAAGTTTTAAGTCTTTTATCTAAAACAGATGACCACTCAGAATGGTTTTCCTTTTGATTAATACCAGCTGATTGGGACTTTACTTGTATCTACAAAATCCCTCCCCAGCATCATCTAGAGATTAATGCTTGATTAACTGACAGGAGTGTGTGTGGTACTAAATGTCTCTTTTCTACCCTCCAGTCTTCAAGAGAGAATATGCTTTGTTTCCCACCCTAAATGGAAATACTGCCCCAAAGGAAATTTTGGAGACTATAGTTCAGTCAAGCTAAGCCACCATATCCCCTCATTATAGACGGGCCTACTGAGATAGAGAAAAGATTTAGCCAAGGTGACATTAGAATTCATAGGTCTATGGCCTAGGTCTGCTGTATATTTCACTACAATAAATATATATTTAGGGTAATTTCTGGCATGTAATACAAGCTTACAAAATGTTTGTTTATAGAATTTTTTCCCAGTGATATTTTTGTCACTTCTAGGGTTTTCTAGGATTTTCTGGCTATTATTGCTGCAGTATTATTATGCCTATTTTTTTTTTTAGTAAGTGAATAATAAGGCATAAAACTAAGAAAGTGGGCTCAGATTTTTAAATTGTAGATATTTTTATTAACATGTAATACTTATACTCATGGGCTACAATATGATTTTACAGTATGTAGTGTTTATTTAGGATAATTAGCATACCCATCATCTAAACTCTTTGTCATTACTTGTGTTGAAAATATATAAAATTCTGTTTTAGTTTGAAATACACAGCGAGTTCTGGGCATCTGTAGTCTCTCCACTATATCTTAGAACACAAGAAATTGTTTCTTGTCTGCAAATTTATATTTGTTAATCAACATTCCTCTATCTTACCCCTCCCTCCCATTCTTCCCACCCTCTAGTAGTCATTCTTCATCCCTCTACCTTTCTAAAACCATTTTCCCTCCAATTTCTACATATGAAGGAGAATATGCTAAGACCCCTATCACTTAACAGCTTAAATTGTTAAGGAATTTGGACTTTTATCCTGAACGAAGGAGAATATGCTAGGACCCCTATCATTTAACAGCTTCAATTGTTAAGGAATTTGGACTTTTATCCTGAAGGTCATATAGAGCCATAGGAGGGTTTTAATCAGGGAAATAATGTGATTTTTTAGTACCGCATTTGGGTGATAGATGGGGGCAACACTGGAGGTAAGAATTACAGGACTGTTACAGTGGTTAACAGAGACCTAAGGATCTTAGCTGATCTGCCTGGGTACTGCTCAGAGATGATGGTGATGAGAGCATGATCTTATTTAGAAGACTGACTTGACAGAAACTGGATTTTATCTTTTCTCACAGGCTTTTTATTTATTTATTTATTTTGGAGAGGTTTTTCCATAGGGCGCGTGCAATCTCCAGAGAGACAGAGAGAAGCAGAGAGATAGAAAGCGAGAAATCACCTCCCAGGGGGGATGGCCACGCCGCAATCCCTTCTCCATTCTCCTCTCGGGATCTTGGGCACGCAAGCACACGCACCTGGTGTGAGTTTTAAGCCACTGGGTCCAGGACGTGAATTGCAGTCGACTACGTGGGAGTCCAGCTACATAGCCATTACGCTAACTGCTGGTCCCACAGGCTTTTTCTTTTTGAAAAAGGAGATTTTTGCTCTAGGTTGCATGCACTTGCCAGAGAGAGAGAGAGAGAGAGAGAGAGAGAGAGAGAATGAGAAATCACCCCTAGGGGGGATAGCCATGCTGCAATTCTTTCTCCTTCATTTTCCTCTTGGGATTGTGGGCATGAATGCACATGCACCCAGTGTGAGTTAAGCTGCTGGGTCTGGGACTTGAACTGTGGATGACTATGTGGGAGTCTAGTGATGTAACCATTATACCATCTGCTGGCCCCTGGGTTTTATCTTTTCTAAAAACGTCTCTTGATCCTTAGGTATTAGCTATGTGGAATCTACTATTCATCTATCCAATCCGCTATTTTGGTTTGTATGTGGATCTCTTGATGGGCAGTGATTTCATGGCTCAATACACTGGTACAATGTCAAAGTTGGAAAAAGTTAACATTACGGACTGTTTTCTCCCAGTGATATTTTTGTCATGACTAGGGCTTTCTAGGATTTTCTGGCTATGTAATCATGCTAGAATGTTATCTTTTGGGGCCACTGAGGACATCGAGATCTTTCTTCTGCAACTTTCCAGAAATTTAAGTATTACATAATATTACAATGGCAGTACAGGAAG